AATTTAAAGAGAAAATTAAAACCTTGTAAAATATATTTTAGATATAATAAAAATTAAAGAGATACAGTTAGAATTAGAAAAGTAAAAAGTCATAGCAAAAATAGATAAAATGATAGAACAGGCAAGTTAGCAAAATTAGGTTCTAGAATAGAAGATAGGAATAGAATTATAGAAAAACTCCTCAGAATTCAAGTATCACTTTATGCTAGAAAGAGATAATAGTAGAAGACCTTACAAGAAAGTTTTTGCAAATAATTCTGAATCTTAAGACAGAAATAGAATAAAAATTCTTAATAGCTATAAAAAAAATTAAACCTAAAGATGAAATGCAAATTTAATATTAGCCATTTTATAAAAGAAGATTAGAAATCAAAATAGAAGAAAATGTATAAATTTAAGACAAAATAAGTATTCAGATATTCAAATGCTTATATAAAAAACTACTAGTATTGAAGATATTATTAATCAGAAGACCAAAATTATATAACAACCCAATATGCATAGTATGCAAAAAGGATAAAGAAGAAGACTAAAAATATCTAATTATATATAAAAAGTATAAAGTAAAATAGAAAAAAGCAGAACAGCTAACTTCAAATCTGGCCTAGACAACTTTATTATAAAAACTTATAACTATTTTAACAAAACACAACTTAAAAAAACTTTGTAAGGTTCATCAAATAAAAAAAAATAAAATGAGAATTAATATACTCAAAGAATTAATCAAAGAAGAGGTTATAAAAAAATTCTTGAAGTAATAAAAAGTTTGAAAAAATTTAAAAGCTATTAAACATAATAATAAACTTAGTATAGAATTATTTTTATAAAACATCTAAAAACCAAGATGTGTATATATAAATCATTAGAAAAAAGAGAAGGAAATAAATACAAAAGAAAAGAGAAGAAAAAGATTTAATACAGAAAAATTAAACACTAGTAGTAAGAAAACAGATTTGATTTTAGAGAAAGAAAGAAGCCAAAATTAAAATCAAACCAAGGGAAAGTTAAAATAAAAGAAGATAAGAAAAATAAAAAAGTGAAAGTTAAAAAGAAAGAAAATACTTGGTTTAATGCTGTTAAAAATTTTATTAAAAATAAAATGAAGCTATTTTAGTATAGTTTCACAGGTTAGCTTAGCGCAGCCCTCCAGTGTAAGCAAAATGCTTTAGCCAGTATAGCAAACCATCCTTGGATGTTCAATAAAGTAGCTAGAAAATGTCAAAGATAGTTAAATATATATATCTACTTTGATCTAATAAAGATACTAATAAGGTTGCTAATAAATTAAAAAAAAATTAACAAAGGCAAGATTGCTGAATTATAAAAAAAATAAAAATTAAATAATAAAATATAATAATATAAATAAATTTAACTAATAAAATTTGAATATATTACAATAAAATTAGGTTCTTATATATAATTTTAATTTTTTCACTCTTCTTTCTCTAAACAATCATCTAATTTTGTCACTTAGAATTAAAGTTTAAAATAAGTTTTTAAAACATAAAACATTTTATTTAGAATTTCATACTGATAAATTTGCCAATTTTTGAAATAATATATATATAAATGCTATAGATGTGATTTAGTAATATTTAAAAATTTTAATTGAATTTTAAAAGATAAAAATATAGCCTTATTTTTTAAAAAAATTAGTATTGAATTATAAATTTTAATCTGCTAAAATAAAAGTAAAAACTTGATACAAATAGAATTAAAAATAATTATTATATGCTAATAAAATAGTTAAACTTTATAACTTAACTTACAAAAACATTTGGGTTTTATATACTTAGCAACACAAATTTATCAAATGCAAAGAAGTTCAATTGAGTTTCAATAAAGTTAAAGGCATGGTATCGCCTTAAAAATTAAAAAAAAAATCATCAAATGTAATTATATACTGATATATTTATTTAAAAATGTATTAGGGTTATCAACTTAATAAACACCCGCCCTTTGTACGATCTTTTAACGCTAATAAATGAGTGCCGCCGAGCGAAAACCAGACTTCAAGCCTTTAACTTTATAATTTTCGAAAAATCTAGTCACGTTAGTGCTTCAATATTATGTGCCTCTGATCAGATTTTTCAGAACTAAGTTCAGTAAATTATAAGTTAAAAAAGTCATAAGTATGATTTTCTCCTGGGTAAATTAAAAAATAATATCTGGCCTCACCTTAAGATTCAAAAAAAAAAAATAATAATAATATCAAGCCGGTTTAATTTGAGCTGGATTGAACCGGTTTTAAATTCTGTATGTGTATTGTAATTGCCGAACCTGTGATATTATTCGTCACGCTGTCAAGAATGTCTCAGATGGGTTGAGTTAAATTCTATGATTTTAAAGTTTTAGCGAGAAATTAAAACCAAAACAGTCAATCAATACATGTTCGTGAAGAACATCGCCTTCAGAGATTGCCAGAGAACTATCATACGGAAAATATACAGAATCATGAACAAACTATAATATCTTTACTTACGCATATCCATTCCTCCTGGCGTAATTGATAACGAATTTTGGTAAACAGAATCCTGACAAACAAAATCCAAAAAAAAAAGTCCAAAATTATAATAACTAACGCTAACCTAATGCGGGCTAACTGTCGGGTTATTGGGTGTTTTTTTTTTTCTGGATTTTGTTCTGCTCCTGGAGCAGGGAAGAAGGTTTGAAAAGGATTTTTAAATTATCGAAAGCGACAAGCTGCAGTGAAAAGGATTTTGATAGACGAATGTCATCAAATTTGCTCGTTGGTTATGCAATCATCTTGTTTCTAAAATTCGAATTTTCAAACATGGAATCGAGATTGAAAACAACTCAAATGATATGTTAATATCGTCGCATTATAAGTTTGGAATGGTTTAGTACAGAACGTTTTTAGCACATAAAGCAAGAGAATTCGTAAATTGCAAAGTTGTCCAATGTGTCAAAGAATTGAAGTCCAAAACCTGTGGCAGTTGCAGATTCATAAGAAGATATGAGCGGTATTAAAAATATTTTGCTCAAAAATCTGACAGAGGTTCGCTCTTGACTTTTGAACTTGAACTTATATGGAATACGTATGGTAAAAATTTGATAATTTATATTGAATTCAAATTCCAAAGTACGTGATAAACAATTTTAAAATAATACATTACTTACTGCATTAACTTTAATTCGAAAAATAAATTATGTAGAACAATGAATCGCGAAATGGTTTTATTACATCAAAACTTATCACAAACCGAGTATAAACACAACGCGTCATATATTTATAATTAAGTAAATTAAATGAGCGATTCATTTCTTTTTTAGTATAAAGTTATAGAATAAAAAAAAAACGTTTCAAAGAATTTTTAACGAGTTACACGTGAATAAATAAACGTAACATGTGAATATGTTAACAAGAAATTTACCTGTTCTGCGCCACGAATAAATCTGGTTAACCTGTCAATGCTTGAGGTTACAGGTAACCCGAATGAAACGGGGGTCTGAAAAAGTTTTTTTTATTGACCAAATATTCTTTTCTCTCATAGTCGTCTGATTTACTTCGGTATACAGGACTCATACATATATTTGATTATCAGTTAAACGGTGTGGCTGAGTCATTAATGTATGGCTTTTCCCTGGAATACCTTTGAATAGATTATCATTAGGGTTGGCATTTTGATGCACCATTGGAAAATTTCGCCAGCTGCATTGCTTCATTGGGAATGTTTAACATAATTGCACATATATTTAACAATTGCCAATTATTTATAACAAGTAATTTTTTATATGTAAGAAAAATGCATCATTGCCTCATTCCACACCAAAAATGCCGACTCTAATTGCCATCAAATTATCCAAGTTTAAACTTTTTTTGGAATTTTTAAATTATAATTACATTCTTTTTTTCGGATTCACTTCGTTCAAGATGATTAAATCTAAGATTATAATAAGAAATAAAGATACAATAATGTAATAATAATAATTATTATGTGAATTACCATAATTACCGTAATTTAATTTTCAAGAAGAATGGTTAAATAATGAGAAACAAAATTATAATCAGTTACCCTTATTTCTTGGCATGAAAAAGGAAATGTATAATAACGTAAGAATCCCATTGCTTTTAATTTTGTCATATTGGCAAAATTCAAATTCAGACAAGGTCCGTCGTTCAAGAATTAACTTTTTCGGAAAATTAAAAAAAAAAATCAAAAAGGAAAGGAGTTAATTATATTGAATTAAAAAACCAGTGTGAAAGCATTTAAATAAAAAAATCATTAATTTAATTACGAAATGAAATATCAATTATATAATTAGAATTATTTTTATTATCGTTACTATTATTATTTTTAAAAAAAAGTGGAAGGTAAAAAAAAAAACGACGGAAAATTTATTATGTAATAGGTTTTTGTTGTTTGCGCAAAGCCACCATAGTACCCTTGTGTATAAATGACTAGCATCTGATTTTTTTCTACGTAATATATAACAATGAATTTCGATCATTGTGAAACCGATTAGCCAAAAATCGATTTTTACTTAATCTGTTAACATATTACCGACCCGTTGAAGCTACCGGTATCTTTATATAATTATATATAAACAGTAAAACCACCTCCTCCTGTCTGATTGAAACTATTATCACTGTGGAGTATTTTATGAATATATAAATACTATTACTTATATCAACCTGACGTTTTTCAATAAATCATACTCTGATCCCATCATCAATATCAATTACTTTTGATCACATCAAATCCGCTACTGTGCCTTGAGTATTTATTTATTATTTTTTCTACTTATACTTAGTCGAAATATAGATATCCGGTGGGTCTTTTTTTTTATTTATAACTTTTATTTATTTTCTTTTTGTTTTTGTATTTCTGTTTGTGTTCTCTGTTTTTGTTTTGATAATCTGTTTTGTTTCATCCGTTTTTTATTTCTTAAAGAAAATCATTATTTGCAATATGACAACGATCCAAATAAATCATCCTGCTCAAATTCGTCAGCGTGGCAAAGTCAAGTTTTTCAACATGCAAAAAGGCTATGGGTTTATCATTCCTTGTGACCTTCCCTGTAACCTTCCAGAGTGTGATAAAGTAGAAGGTGATAATTTAATTTCGCGTTTCTCTTGAATTTGATGTTTTAAAAAATTGCCTTGGTATTATCTGTGGTTGTTTAACTGGCAATTCATTTTGTGTCTCCTTTAAATTTTATTTTGTTTTCATGTTTTTATTTTTTATTTTTTTTTTTATTTTTTTTTTTTTGTGTCAATTCATTAAGTTTTTGTGCATCATACCTCGATTCATAATGATGGGGGTTTTAAGAGTCTTGCTGAGGTATCATTATCATAAGTGAAATCAGTCTCATTAAGTGCAATTTACGCGTCTTTCTGTCGCTTACCAAAAACTTCATTTGTCACTCTTTCTAATTACGACTTGATCCGCGTTCTGCTTTCCTTTTCAGGGTGAAGATGTATGTATCTCTAAGCGATCTTTGAATATATCTTACTGATACGTATTAAAGACTTCAAATATTATTAACCATATTTATTATTTATTTATTTAATTTTTTTTCCTAGGTTGAATTTGATTTGATTAAAGGTCCAAAGGGATTTCAAGCTGCAAATGTTAGTGGTCCGAATGGTGCTTCTGTTAAAGGTGATCCAAACGCTCCTGGTCGACGTCCTATTTATACTACGTTGGTTTTTTTTTTATTTATTTGTTCCGATTCAGTTCGTTTATTTCTCTTATATATTTCCTAACTTTAATTTTAAAAAATCAATCAGCAATAATTATATTGGACTAAACCCTAATTACGGAATACTCGATCGACCCCTTAAATTTCCAACTGGAAGTGATCTGGCTACTAGCAATGCTGGTAAGTTTTCTTATCATTTATGTAGGCCCAGATTATATCTATCTTTGCGTAATACTTGAGCTGATTCGATTACGGGCTGCGTCGAGTTTTTTTTGATTCAATATCAATTTTTATTTAGAATTATACTATCATTTATGTACAATTA